TGTGTGTGTGTGTGTGTGTGTGAGAGAGAGAGAGAGAGAGAGAGAAAGAAAGAAAGAGATCTGCTAAGGTCAGGATCCTAGAACTCAACCCACGTCTCCCGCATGGGTGTTGGAAAGCAGGTGCTCAAGCCTTCACCTGCTGCATCTCGGGGTGTGTGTGAGTGGGAAGCCAAGCCTGGATTCGAACCCCGACACTCTGATAGGGCGTGAGCATTGCAAGGACAGCTCACCTGCTCTATCAAATGCCCACTCCAGGAATTATATTTTTGGCAATATTTAGTATTAGTTTTCCTTAAACCCCTCCTGTTTCCTCCTGACAAAAGGATCACTAAATCAAGGCTGAATTTTCGATGCTAAAAGAGCAAATGTGACTTCACGGATACTTAGCAAGAATTCACTACCCCATGAAAACAAATTTATACTCCTTGAATTATTAAAGTTTACTCTTGAATATCAAATGACAAAAATGCTAATGGAACTAACATGAAAAGTTAGTATATTTAAAATACCTCCATAGTGCTACATCCATTTTACAAATTAGAAAAATCAGGCTTTCAGAAAATAAAAATGTATCTAAGAAAGGTCTGTTTTTCACCCAAGTTTCTTGTTTGGTCTCTTTGTTTTTCAACCTAGATAACAGAAATAGTGTCAAATAATGTAGATGAAGATTTTTTTTTTAAAAGAATTACTTTGTTTGTTGGAAAGGCCAAATGACAGAAAAGAAAGATCTTCATCCACTGGTGTACTCCGTCGATTGAAGCTAGCAAGCAGGACTGTCCAGGCGTCCCTCCCTGGTGACAGGAGCCAGATTACTCAGGCCGTCGCCTGCAGAAGCTGCACCCGACGTGGAGATGCAGCACCAGCAGGTGGCTTCCCTGACCTTACCGCAGGGCCGGCTGCACAGAGGTGAAGGTGCAAAGGGAACAGTGAGTGTCGTACACAGGAGAGGAAGGTGGTGATGAATCAAGTAGTTCCTAAAAATCCCATTTCTCTATTTATTCCATTTGACCGAGAAAAATGTCCCCCCCCCCCCCTGATTTTTCCCCCTTGAGAAAAAAACTTTAGAAATAATTTTGTTTCCCACAAATTTACGTATTTCCTTTACTTACCTCTGGAAAACGCTTTTTCCCCACAACGTAAACAATCCGCCTGAAAACCGAACCATTTTTTGAAACAGGCATAACCACCTGCTTGGGGGCCGAGCAGTGATGTGTCCCCCCCCCCCGCCCTTGAAAAGCTGCCCTCTAGGTTTCCCAAGCTTCTTATACTCCATCATCATACACCATACATCCCCATGGGGTAGCGTAGTGCCACGGGCACATTATATGTTCTCTTTCAACAGTTATTTTTCCATGGAAATTAAACCAATTTCCGCCCCTTTTCCAACAACCTAAACTCTGAATCCCCAAATTGATTGTTGGTATCCCTTGCCTGGCCTAGCCCAGGGCAGCCCTTTTTGGTCCCCTCCCGCCTTTGTTAAAGCAATGGAATTTCATCATAGGCCCTGGGCCATTCAACTGTTTTTCTTTATTTTATTATTTTGGTCCCCTTGGTGAGGAAGGCCCAGCCTGTCCCCTCATATTTGGGCCTCTTGTCCCCAATAAACGCCCCCCAATCCCCCACAAAACCTTTGATTTTACCAAACAACTTTTTACACATCACTTTTCTGGAAGCTCGCCTGTATTTCCCTCCTTCAACAACTTCTTGTCCAACCACATTCCCCTTAAAATTTATGGCAAAACCCAGAATGAACTTTAACCTAAAAGCATTTTCCTACCTTTCACCTTCCCTTTTTTCCCCCCCCCCCCCCCCCCTTTCCCCCCCCCCCCCCCCCCCCCCCCCCTTCACATTTGTTTTGCTTGTTATTCCTTTTGGTGTGTGTGTTGTGGTGCTTTTTTTTTCCCTCCCGCCCCCCCCCCCCTCTACAAGACCTCTAATACATCCTTTGATTCATTCCCCAAGTGGCCGCAATGGCTAGAACTGCACCAATCCGAACCCAGGAGCCAGGAGCCTCTTCTAGGTCTCCCACAGGGGAACAGGGTTCCAAGGCTTTGGGCTGTCTTTGGCTGCCCTCCCAGGCCACAAGCAGGGAGCTGGATGGGAAGCAGGGCTGCCAGGGTTAGAACCAGCATCTATATGGGATCCTAGCATGTGCAAGGTGAGGACTTTAGCCGCTAGGCCACCGTGCCGGGCCCTCAGTTCTATACTGCTCCCTCTTAGCTGCCCCACTAACTGAACGTCTGGGGGCAACAGCGTCGAGGGGGAGTCTCCGACACACCTCAGCGGCATGTTTGGTGGGCTGAACCTCCTGCCTGGACTTGTGCTTCGTCACGTCAGAGCTTGTCTGCAGGAGAGCGTGCTCGGGGAGGGGGGGGGGCGGGAAGCAAGCAGGCGTGGAAGGAGCCAGAATGTACATCTCCCGCCTGCCTTGGCTGTACCCCTGCCGCGAGTGTCAGAGGTCGCACAGGTGCCCCGTGCGCACCGTGAACCCTGCCGCGAGTGTCAGAGGTCGCACAGGTGCACCGTGCGCACCGTGAACCCTGCCATGAGTGTCCAGAGGTCTCACAGGTGCCCCTTGCGCACCGTGAACCCTGCCAGGACATTGGGACTGTCCCCAAAAGCCGTATCTTTCTCAGTTTATTGACTTCTTTTTTTTTTTTTAAGATTTATTTTTATTATTTTTTTTATTGGAAAGGCGGATATACAGAGAGGAGAGACAGAGAGGAAGATCTTCCGTCTGATGATTCACTCCCCAAGTGAGCCCAAGGGCCGATGCTATGCCGACCCAAAGCTAGGAACCTCTTCCGGGTCTCCCACAGGGTGCAGGGTCCCAAAGCTTTGGGCCGTCCTCGACTGCTTTCCCGGGCCACAGGCAGGGAGCTGGAGGGGAAGCGGGGCTGCCGGGATTAGAACCGGTGCCCATATGGGATCCCGGGCGTGCAAGGTGAGGACCTTAACCACTTGTGCCACCACGCCGGGCCCAGTTTATTGACTTCTAAACATTGTATACAGAGCCCTGTATCCATCCTATCAGGTCGGACAGCACTTGCAATAGCTTCCTTCTCCTCCTCCCTTCGTTCTGGAAGTTGTGAGCATATGCAAGTCTGTATAAAGCCAGCGTCACACCTCACACACCTCCGGCTTGTCTTGGGGAGCCCCCGTGAAAGGCAGGCCCGACTGCCCTGCAACGTGGGAGCCACTCCGAGACATGAGTGGGCTCTGCTGTTCCGCCCAGCCCTGCCCCGTGGGGTGTATTGTAGTTTCTAATATTGCTGCATTAGGGGCTGGTGCCCGTGTCTTTTCATATCTGACCGAGCTCTCATTGCGCACCACAGATCAGTTTGGTTGGTTAGTTGGTTGGTTGGTTATTTTTAAAGATTTATTTTTATTTGAAAGATTTACAGAGAGAAGGAGAAAGAGCAGATGATTTTCCCTCCTGTGGTCCACTCTCCAAATGGCCCCAGCAGCCGGGGCTGAGTGAGTCTGAAGCCAGGAGGCCGTGCTCTCTCTGGGTCTCCCACATGGGTACAGGGGCTCATGTTCCGGGGCTTTTCCAGGTGTGTGAGCAGGGAGTTGCATGGGAATTGGAGCAGCCAAACTGGCACAGGCTTAACCTACTGTACTACTGCATCAGCCAGCCACCCACAGATGTGCTCTTGTGCTTGCTCCGTGCCCTGCGCCTGGGCTCTGTAACATCCCTGGGGCTGGGGCCTGGTGCATCAGCAGCACATCTCGCCTTCCGCATGCAGCCGTGTGAAGAAGAACTTTAACAGAGGCGGGACACTTTTCTAATAATGGACGTATTTCCCTGTGGGATTCCCAAAGGAAGACACAGGCTAAGGAGAGTGGGTCAGAGCTGCACTGCTGTGGGAGAGGACAGAGCAGCCAGGCCAGCTCCTGGGCAGCGCCAGGCCACTGCCTGGGGAAGGCGCCTGCTGCGTCCACGGTGCTGGCCACGGGTGCCTTCCCCACTCTCACAGGATGTGCTGTTTCTCCCGCCAGCTGTGGGCAACTCCGCTCGGGGCTCCAGGAATGCGGCTGGGGTTGACTGGCAGCCTGGGCTTTGGGAAGCTTCTCTTCGGAGCTCATGGTGCAAGAAAAAAGAGTGAGGCCATTGGGACCTAGTCCCCAGATGCCCTGCCCTGCACCCCTAGCCATGGAAAGGGCAGAACTGAAGGGGTTGCCAGTTGATGGGCGTGGGCGAAGGAGCTTTCAGGCTTCGGGCCAAGCTTCAGTTGTCCTTGTCAGGGTCACTCAACGTCCAGCAAGCAGGAGGCCATTGGCAGGGACAGCTCTGTGGCCAGCCCAGAGCCTCTGCCGGGGGTGCCCCCTCACATGCCCACAAGAGGAGGCGTATAACCCCAAGTTTGCAGACACATAACCCCTCCAGATACCTCCCTGTGGAATCATAGCTGCAGCAGATGGTTAGGACTGGAGGGCCAGGCCTCACGTCCCCTGGGCATCAGCCAAGCCATGCCCACCATGTCGTGCAGATCCACAGAAGCACCTGTTGAGTAACCGCTGCGCAGAGCTCAGCGTGTCGGAGCCTTCCAGCCTCATGGGGCTGGGGTAGCCAGGCCTATTTTACAGATGCACATACTGAGGCTTAGAGGCGAGCTAATGCAGGCAGCAGGTGATGATCCTAGCACTAAACCCTGACTCTGAGTCCTCAATCTGAATCACAGAATGCTGCAGTCAAGGACTGCTTGGCCTGAAGACCACAGGCGCTTTCTCTGTCTCTCCGCCCATATATTTATGTATCTCTTTTCTTGTTAGCATTTCTCTAATCTCTTGCGGTGAGTTGAAGTGGAAGCGTGTTTGCATTATTTTATCAATGAGTACTTGGGTAAATATTCATGGATGCTGTAGATAACTAACCCTGCTATTACCATGATAACTGGTTTCACAAATTGGATTAGACTGCGTTTCGAACTTTCTTCGTCTTCTTTCCTTGTAACAGTTTGTTCCTATTTAAAATGGTGTCTGTTTCTTGCCGAAAGGAAGAAGATCTGTCTGCACAGGCCTGCTGTGCTCTGCCTGTGGCTCCGGCACCTTCCCAGCCTGGAGGAGGCCGTGCTGTGTCTGCTGGAGAAGTTCCTCTCCAGGGAGAGAGACAATTGCCTGCAAGGGATCGAGAGCCTTCTAGAAGAGTCACTGCTGGTACGGGCTGGGCTGGGAGGGAACAAAAGCCTTCAAGGGGATGTTGGGGACACGGAAGCAAACACTGTGGAACCTGCATTCATGTTTATTTAAAAATGACCTTGGGTAGGTGGGTGGTGCTGGTTTGTCTCATCCTTCAGTGGCCTCTCCATTGTTGCACCGTCACAAGAATTGTATGCGAGCAACAAACTTTATAAGAACAGCTTTGGCGTGAAAAGTACATTTTTAAAAATGAAAAACTTAGCTGAGTAGGAGTGGGAGCCGACCGAAAGCCTTCAAGCTTTCCTTTTTCTTTTCGTTGAAGCAGCCCACCTCCCCCCACTCCATGTGCTAGCTGCCTCTTCCTTTTCCCTGTGCCCCACCCCCAGGCCTGTGATGTCAGGGACTTGGCGGGTGGCACTGGTCCCCTCTGCCCCACCCGGGTCCACGGCGAGTGCCCTGCGTGCTCTCCTTCTAGGGGGCGGTCAGCCTCCAGAGTTGCTGTGCATCCTGATAAAAACAAATGCAGGTCCTACACGTGCCTGGCTGCCGGCTTCTAGAACCTCCCAGACTTGGTCAGCTGTCCTCAGTGCCTTCCGGAGCCTGTGGGGACTTGCCAAGAGTCTCTTCCTGCTGCCCCGATGGAAGAAGTGAATTCTGAGAGTGACAGGGGTGAGGAGACCAGCACCTGGACTGCAGAAGGCCCTGAGGTTGCCAACTCCAGCCTGGCAGGCACCTCTAACCCTTAGTTCCCGACACCTCTGGTTCATTTGATTCACTCAGAACCTGCCTCTTTCTCTTGTGAGTTGGAGTCAGTGTCAAGGCAATCATAGTTAAGTCAGTTGCCTTTTTCCCCCCATCTCTGTTTTCTAGCTCACCCCCTGCCCCCCAGGTCAAGGTGGGGAGTGTTGCCTCACGGGTGGCTGGATGGCTGTGGGCACAGGTTCAGGCAGGGCTTGGGAGGCTGTAGTTTGGCAGTGGTGTCCCTGTGGCTGAGTTGCAAGGTGGGACCTTTCAGCAGTGGGGCCCAGTGAGAGCTCCCCGGGAGATGCCCTCCAGGGGATTCCGGCCCCGCTTAGTCCGCTCCCGTTTCCTGTTCTGAGATGGGAGGCTTCCTTCCACATGTGACACAACCCTCAGGCCTGTGCCAGAGTCAAGCTGTCAGCCCCGTGCCTTTGTGCCCCTCCCCCTGCAAACTGTGCACCTCTTTTCTTTATAAAGTTAGCCTGCTCCAGGTACTTTGGTACAGCAAAGAGAGAGAGAAAAGCAGAATGCAAAGTTGTATTGAGACTAAACGAGTCCAGCAAAGGCATCTTTGTGAATAATTACAACTTGTCTTCCTCATTCAAAGCAATTGCATATGGGGTCCAGTGTGTAGCCTACCGGCTAAAGTCCTTGCCTTACATGCACCGGGATCCCATATGGGTGCCAGTTCTAATCCTGGTGGCCCCACTTCCCATCCAGCTACCTGCTTGTGACCAGGGAACGCAGTCAAGGACAGCCCAAAGCCTTGGGACCCTGCACTCATGTGGGAGACTTGGAGGAGGCTCCTGGCTTCAGATTGGCTCAGCTCTGATCTTTGTAGTGGGTCGGCAGATGGAAGATCTTCCTCTCTGTCTCTCCTCCTCTCTGTATATCTGACTTTCCAATACAAATAAGTAAATCTTTGAAAAGTTGCATATTAAGACAAGAAATAAGAATGCACTTTACTTAAAAGTTATGATGCAATTCAAACAAAAACAAACCACCTGGCAGCTCATACCAGATTACTCTCTGGTTTATTAGCTGGTGCACCTCTTTATTTCTGACTCCAGTATTCGCACTGTAATTCACTGGAATTTTCTCTGTGCCCTTGTCAGTAGCAAAACATGCTCAGCAGGCCACTGCCTGCGCTCTGGGCAGACGCTTGCTCTCCGTCTTCTTTTGGTTGGAAAGTGCCAGTTCCTGGTGACGCTTCTCAGATCCCACCAGGCCCTCTCGGGTCCCTCTCCGGGCCCTTTGCAGCTCAGCGCTGAGGCCTGAACAGTGGGAGACAGCGGGGCCGCCATGACACAGCGCCGGGTCCCAGGCTCAGCAGCCTCTCCTCGGCAGGCAGCTTAGAAGTCAGTTGATTTACAATAGCGTCTGCAGGATCCCATGTGCAGGGACGCAGCGCTCCCACTGTGACCAAGGGCGGTTCTAGAGGGTGTTTCTTGGCTTAATTTATTGTGGCACTGGCAGGATGTGACCTCTGGGTGCCTCAGGGTCCAAGGAGGTAATTATAGCGCAGACAGTGAGCTGGCAGGCCCTGATTGGTGTGGGCTGTTCTCCTAGGCACCCCTGGCCCGCAGTGCCAGAACCCCAGCAGGCTGAGTGACTGCAGGGGTAACCTGAAGAACCTGCTTCGTAATTGCATCCTCCGATTCATTTATCTCAGCACAGTGACAGCACCAAGGCCGAGTATCAGCGCGGGGTCTCGGGCCGGGCTGAGACGCCGAGGAAACCCGATGCCTATTACATTAGCGCTGGATTCCGACCGTAATTACAGTGTGATGGTCTGCGGAACTTGTGTTTCCTATGGAGCACTGTTAATTACATTTCCATCCCTGGGGACTGTCCAGAGCGAGTTCTGGAGACTGTGTAGTTACCAAAATGCAGCAGCGACAACAGATGAAAGTGTGGGACAGGTTGCACAAAGGGGGACAACTTCCCCAACGCCCTCAGGCCTCGCAGGGACTCGGGAGGAACCCCCCCCCCCCCAAGGACCAGGGAGTAGCTTACCATCACCTGAGTTCTAAAGTCACTGGGGGGAGGGGAGCTGCAAAAACCCCAAAGTTCTTGGAAAATACACTTGGAAGGTCAGCTTGGCTGGGTGCAGGTTTGCATGTGTGCGTGCATTTGACTTTGAAAACACCAGTCAGCTTTCGGGGTGGGTTTGCTTTTGAGGGCACCCTTTGATTTCCTGGGGCTGGATCAGCCCCAAGTCCATGGCTGCTTGCCACAGTTGGTGGCCCCTAAAGAAATCAAGGCATTAACCCCAGTTTGTCGTTTACTGTACAGACTGGGAAGATGGCAAGCCGTCGCTCCAGACCTGACCTTAAAACCGCTGTCCCCAGAGCGCTGAAAGCCACTTGCTAATCAGGCAGCTTTCTTGGCACCGCCAGGGTTTCCCAGGGCTGGCCCCAATCAGAAGGGTGTTGTTTTCCAGCTACAATTCTGTTTGTGGAGCCCAGAAAGCTATTGTTTGGATTCCACATTTGACTGACAAGTGCGGGCTGGCTGGCAGGGTGGCCCTGCACTCACTGCGCGCTGCTGCCAGGGCCGGGGCACCCTGGTTCCCATGCCCTCCCTCGCCTCTGCAGGCAGATTTTCCCCTGAAAGAACAAGAGGAGAGAGGGCAGAGGAATGCCAGGGCAGGCGCAGAGAAGGGGGGCTGTCTTCCTGGCCTCCTTTCCTTTTTTTCCTTTCTTTCTTTCCTTCTTTTTTTCTTTCCTTTTTTTTTTTTTTTTTTTGTTAGACTTGGATTTAAGATGAGATGACACTCCCCCAGAGGTCAGTTAAAACAATCGCCTTATCTAATAAGAGCTTAGGTATGAAAAGCATCCACAGAGTTGGGATGTGCATTCTGGCCTCGGTCTCCGGGCAGCAGACAGAGCCACCTCGGGGCAGACTCTGACTTTCCACAAAAGCCCAGAACCCGCCACATGCTCCTGCAGGTTTAGCTCCACGCTCCAGATGCTGGGCTCCTGTTTTCTGCACTCGAATTTCTTTCCACCAATATTGTAGAGTTTTCTTGTCCTGCTTTTTCCTTTTACAGTCATTTCAACATCTCCTTTTTGAGTTCTTTAATGTAATGCCTTGTAATTTTGCAAAGGAAATAATTTAAAGTGTGTTGGCCGCTTCTGTCTGTGGCTAAGATTTAGCCCAAGGAGCTGTGCTTCCATAGTAGTTGTACTTTGCAGGGGCGGCCTCACGGGGGCAGCAGGCCCCCCTGATGTCGCCTGGAAGGGGCGGGAAGCGGGGGAGGGGAGCAGAGCGAGGCCAGATTGCAGGGTTCTGTCTGCCCTGTTGGAGCTGCATGGCCGTGCTACCTTCCAGCCAGAAACCAAGGGGGAGCGGAGGAAAACCGAGAATCCAACAGCAACAAAAAACAAAACCAGCCCTGGTGGGCCTAGGGGCCCAGGCGCGCCGAGGCTGCGCTGGGAAGCGGGCGGCGGCCCAGAGTGTTCCCCTGCTCAGGCCCCCGGGAGGCCACCCCGGGGCTGGGGATCGGGGAGGGGGGATTTTTTTTGTCTGGCGTCCAGAGCCGGCCACCCCGTGCCTTCCCAGGCGTGCCTCCGACTCTGCCCTACCTCTCTGAGAGCATGTGTAAGCTTACACCGCAAAAGTACATTTGGTACTTGTTAAGTTTTCTAAGCCTGGGAATGACAGATTTATCACTAATTAAACAATAATTGCATTATGGAGTACTGAAAAAAAATTACTTGTCGTATAAACAACATCTGGTAAAGATTAAAAAGAAAGAATAATTTTTCCAAGCTCAAATTTGTTGCAAGAAACTTGAATGTTTTGAAACAAAATAGATCCTAAGATGTAAAAGGGATATTTACATTCTTAGGTTTAGTCTTTTGAAAACAGAAAAAATGGTGTAATCAACAATACATAATTACACAATACAAAGTACATTTAAAAGCAAGTCAGCGGCAAGGTGCCTGTGCCACCCTGATGGGAAGGTTTTATAAAATACATTTCTCAGAACTCAACTTGATCAAGGAGCTTCCTGCTGAGATGTTTTTTAAGCAGAAAGTCTTGTGGGGAGTTGAGCTGCCCCTGGCCTCCCTAACAAGGCGCCTCCCAGCACCGCCATGCTGCAGGCGGAGGGCAGGGCCGAGCCCGAGGGCGCCCTGCACGGGCCGGGGACCTGAGTTCCTCTCCCGTCTACCCCTTCTTTAATTTTTTAAACTAATTTAGTTGAAAGGCAAAGAGACGAAGACAGGCAGTTTCATCCATGGGTCCATTCCCCAAATGGCCACAGTGGCTGGGGCCACGCTGCGCTGAAGCCAGGAGCTGCCAGGTGGGGTGGCCGGTGGGGGCACCTAGGCTCCTGGGCCCTTGCAGGACAAAGCAAAGCAGGGAGCTGTTGGCCTCCAGGGGCCTGGGACTCTGATCCGTGCCGTCTCACTGTACCCGTCCCACCTCAAGTTTTCAAAAATGTCTTATTGGTAGGAGAGGCGCACAGAGACCAGGAGACAGCTCCAATGTACTGGCTAACTCCCCCAGATTCCTACAAAAGCCAGAGCCAGAAACTGCCTCCAGTGTGGGGTGCACCTTGACTCCTAGGCCAGACTGACACCCATCCCTCCCCCTATCTGAAGGACAGCGGACAGGCTCTGAGGGCGACAGGTTTAAGGGGTGGGGAAGGTCGGTCATCCTGTGATCTGCCCAGATCCCAATCTCATCTCTCTTGCTGAATTGTTTTCAGTCTCCCCCAGTTTCCATATGTCTCCTTCCCCCTCCAGCAAATGATAGGGAGAAAAAGAAATATTTCTGCCTGAGAATTCGAGTTCTCCTGCATTCTCAGGCCCCTTTCAAATAGTCAGTGGCTTGTGCTAATCACCCACCCGCAAGCAGGGCTGGAGCCAGGAGAGTGACAAACCTGCTGTTCCTGACAGCACTGTTGCTGGGCCCTGGGCCCCTGCCCGCTGGGCCTTCCCTTGCTTCGCTGAGGGACAGGACTGGGCAGGCAGGACATACACAGCCTGGCTCAGGGTGGCTGTAGCAACAAGCTGGAGAGGGAAGGAAAGGCCACGGGGCACTGCGGCAGGACAGTGTGGTCCCTATGCAGAGGATGCGGCTCCCCCACACCTTATCTGAACCCGAGATCTGAAGGCTGGGTTGGGGCAGAAGGCCTTGAGAAAGGCCAGATGGAGTGGGTGAAAAAGACACCAAGGCACAGAGCTCCGTTAGGCGGTGGGGCACAGGCCTGCAGAGCGCCCCCTGGTGGGTGTGTACTGCCCACCAGCGCGCATGCCTCTCGGAGACACAGGGCTTCCCAGGAAGCAGGGCCACTCCCAGACCCTCCCAGGAGGATTCTTTTGATAAGAAAAGCAGCCTAAGTGTGCTTTTGTGTGTGATGTCCCTGGGCCACACGGCTGACCCCGGAGCACTGTGGTCCCCAGAAGGGGACTCGCTGACCCTGAAATTATGTGCTTGTGAAGAATAAAGGCTCTCGTTTTAAAGACCATCAGAAAAGGGTGCAGATGAAAAGGAGCTGTGCATAGTCCCTGGGCGCGGGGAGGGAGTGAGGCCGGCCCTGAGGTCAGCCTCTGCCACTGGTGTCATCTCCCCTGGCTGTGCTGGCTTTGCAGCCAGGGGAGGCCATGAGAGTGGGTGAAAGAAGTCTAGGAGATTGTCCCCTGCCACACCACACAGCCCCATGGAGATGCTGGCTGGAAAGCGCTGTCTAAAGGACACACCAGTCATTCCTTCCTGCCTCTGCCCCTGCCCTGCCCTGCCGTGCAGAAGGCCCCCTGAGCAGTGTCCACTGAGCACCCGGCCCTGGGAATGGCTATGGGCTACATGAGCTGCAGGCCTGCGCTCCTGTTTACCAAGGTTCAGCTTTTATTTTATTTATTTTTATTTTTGTCTTGCATTTTCCACCTGTGTGTATTTACCTGTCTGTGTCTTGCTAAATGCGCAGAGTGCTTTTCCTGTGTCTTTTAATGTTTCCCTTACGAAGACACAGAAACTTGGGTGATCTTTTCTGATTAAATAGCCTGTGACCTGCCAGGGGCTGGCGGTATACACAACAAGGCTGGGAAGCAGGAACTAAGCTGACTTGCCCAAGGCCAAAGCCAGGACATCCCCTGCCTGGTCACTGTGGGCTCTGTCCTTTTCCTGGAGCGTGACAGCTGTCCTTCAGCTAAACAAGCCCGCCAGTGAAGACCTGGGGAGTGGGGACCTGGGGAGCGGGGACCTGGGGAGCGGGGACCTGGGGAATGGGGACCTGGGGAGTGAGGACCTGGGGAGTGGGGAGTGGGGACCTGGGGAGTGAGGACCTGGGGAGTGGGGAGTGAGGACCTGGGGAATGAGGACCTGGGGAGTGGGGACCTGGGGAGTGGGGACCTGGGGAGTGGGGACCTGGGGAGTGGGGTCCTGGGGAGTGGGGACCTGGGGAGTGGGGACCTGTGGAGTGAGGACCTGGGGAGCGAGGACCGGTGGAGCGAGGACCTGGGGAGCGAGGACCTGGGGAGCGGGGGACCTGGGGAGCGGGGACCTGGGGAGTGAGGACCTGGGGAGTGAGGAGTGAGGACCTGGGGAGTGAGGACGGAGTGAGGACCTGGGGAGTGAGGACGAGTGAGGACCTGGGGAGCGGGGACCTGGGGAGTGAGGACGGAGTGAGGACCTGGGGAGTGGGGAGTGAGGACCTGGGGAGTGAGGACCTGGGGAGTGGGGACCTGGGGAGTGGGGACCTGGGGAGTGGGGACCTGGGGAGTGAGGAGTGAGGACCTGGGGAGTGGGGAGTGAGGACCTGGGGAGTGAGGACCTGGGGAGTGGGGACCTGGGGAGTGAGGACCTGGGGAGTGGGGACCTGGGGAGTGGGGACCTGGGGAGTGAGGACGGAGTGAGGACCTGGGGAGTGAGGACGGAGTGAGGACCTGGGGAGTGGGGAGTGAGGACCTGGGGAGTGGGGACCTGGGGAGTGCTGTTTTTAAAGAGGAGAGAATCAGTTGTCCTTCCAAGGTTTTTTGTTTTTAAGGTTTATTTATCTTTATTGGAAAGGCAGATAGAGAGGATGAGAGGGAGAGAAGGATCCTTCATCCTCTGGTTCACTCCCCAAGTGGCCACAACGGTCAGAGCCTAGCCGAAGCCAGGGGCCAGGAGCTTCTTCCGGATCTCCCACATGGGTGCAGGATCCCAAGGCTTTGGGCCGTCCTCTACTGCTTTCCCAGCACACAAGCAGGGAGCTGGATGGGACGTGGAGCAGCACGACCTGGCCACCATATGGTATCCGGTCACTTGCAAGGCCAGGATTTAGCCACCAGGCTACTGCACCTTGCCCAAGGACTGGTTATCCTTTCATTGGGACTCCAGCCTGGAGCCATCCGTGGCGTCTTGCAGAACTGGCGCATCACCACTAGATGGCGAGCGCTCAATGTTACAACAGAGAGCCCAGCGAGGCCTGACTGTAGGACAACCTTGCTGTCTTCAAAATTGCCTAAAAATTGCCAAGCAGTGCGTGCTCTTTGCTCTTTGTTCTTGTGAGTGGGGTGTGGGGGAACTGTGAAATGTGTTTCTCAAAACTAGCTGGTATCAGGTGCACTATTACTCCAGGAAACTCCCTATGAAAGCCCGCACACAAGCACTGAGGTGCTGCCATAAATATTGTCATGGGCACACAGGGTCTGTTCTCACGCCAAGAGATGGCTCACTGGCCGAGATGGGGAGCCCTGGAGGCTTCTGCAGAAGTGCCTTATCAAAGCCTGGGAGAAGTAGACGCCATGCATTCCCCATAATGGCATCTTTCTCCTTCACATGAGCCCTCTTTTCATCCTAGATGATTTAAGCTGCTAAATTCATAGTATACTACTGCACGATGTTGTTCAGCTCAGCTTGGCAAGGCTGCTTTCAACAGCACTGATTCTAAATAGCTATGTGCGCACTTCCAGGAAAGCAGGCAAGAACAAAAAGGCTGGCCCAGAGGCCCTCCCAGGTTGTGGGAGGCCAGGCCAGCAGCGTGCAGGACTGCAGGCCACATGAACAGGCCCCACGTCCTCCTGCAGCTGGCTGCAGACTGTGTTAACAACTGCCCGTGACAGCTTAACCAAACTGTCCGGACCATGTGGCCACATCCTAAAAGGTGCGAGGGTGGGGGAGGTTGTCCGCAGGTCTGCCCAGAGACCCTGACCCGCGGTTGCCCGTGGCCGCTGCCCTGGGCTCTGGTGCCTGGGGCTGCAGGCAGCTGCAGGCAGGACACGGCCAGGACTGGCCCATGACACCGTGCTTTCCTCTCGCAGCCACAGGCCGCCGCCTGCCACCCTGCTGTGTTCTGGGTCGTGGATGAGATGTTCAGGTACGTGAGCCATCGGGCCTGCGGGAGCCACGGGTTTGGCCGCCCCACCTGTCGGAGGGGAAATGAAGGCTTCTGGTCCCTTCTTCCTCGTGTGAGATGCGGTTAAGTGGAGGCAAGAACTCAGTGTGTGGTTAAAAGCCTTTGGGTAAGGCTGAGCACAACTCAGTTCACTCTTAGAACTCAACTCAGAATGACACCAGAGCAGAACCGAATCTGAGCCCCCGGTCCCCAGAGTGTAGGCTTTCCCTCAGGTCGGTGTGGAGGACAGTTGTGTGCTGCCCTGGCCACAGGAGAGCTGACCGTCCTCCTGAAGGCCTCGAGCTCGGCAAAGCCCAAAGTGTGCGAATCAATACGTGGAGCCGTCGCGAACACTCTTCTCCCAAAAGGGAGATCCGCAGCGTGCCATCTCGCGGCCTGGCAGCTCCGGCTCTGAGGAGGCCAGCCCTTCTTGGGAAATGTGCTGTGTCCACACCCGGTGGAAGGTGGGCTCCCTGCGTGCGGGGTGCACTAGGCCTGTTGCCCTGGGCAGCGGCAGCCAGGAGCTGGTGGGCCAGCCAGGGACCCCCACCCCGCTCGGCCCCCTCCACCCTCACCCCACAGCGCGGGCTCCCAGGAAGACCACAGCCCCCAGGGGTAGGGCCTCTGGCAGCAGCTACTCATGGTCCTATATCGCGCCAACCTCGAGGGGTGGAAATGTCAGGATAGTGCTTGTAGCTTCAGGCCAGCCAAGCTGGGGTTGATGGGGTGTGTGTGTGTGTGTGTGTGTGTGAAACAAATATAGAGGAGATTTCATTGTTTGGAAGCCGAGTGTCCTGGGAAGATACGACCAAGCCCCTTCACTTGGTGGCTTGGCTGGAGAGCAGGGTGCCCACCCAGGTGGCACTCCTGGGGCTGTGTTGCCCACCTGCTTGTGATGGGCAAGGGCTGTGGCCGTTGGCGCCTCTCCGCCCAGAGCAAGCTCAGAAATGGGGGTGCTGGCTTTCCCGCTGCTGCTCAGTCTGCACCAAGGAGCTCGGCAAGTTCCTCGTGAACCTGTTGTAACCCTGCCCTTGCACTGCTCAGGTGTGCGCTCCTGGAAACCGACGGGGCCCCGGAAGTAGTGGCCGCCCTTCAAGCGTTTACAAGATGCTTTGTGTCAGCACTGGAGGAAACGGGCACGCAGGTCTGTCTGTGCATGCTCCCCATTAGCCTGGCCTGTCCCCCAACAAGAGGCGGTTAGGTGGTTACAGTTCATCCCCAGAAAGGAGTACTCTGTCCACTCATTGTCACAGGCTGCTTTGCCTGTGTCACAACCCGGGGCCCAGGAGTACCTAGCCAGTCTCGCCCGGTGGCCTTTGTCAACTGGATGCCCTGACCCCCCATCCCCAGGCCACCAGGAGCATCCTGGGCTCCAGCTGGGAGATGCTAAGCAGCAAACCCAACTCCCATGGGAGCTGGGTTCCAGGAGGGTGAGAGGTCCCACAGGGAGCCCCCGAGAACTCCAGCCCCCCCCCCCCCTGCAGCAGAGGCTGGGCAACAGCTGCTGTCAGCTGCGGGGAGCACGGGGCGGGCCTTCATCCCTAGAGCTCCCAGCTCTGTGGATGCACAGGTCAGTGGGAGACAGGGCTGGTGTGCGCCCTGCAGCACCAGTTCCCCCGTCTGGCCCCACTGAGGGCCTGAGCCCCCTGTGCTGCACTTTGGAAGGCAGCAAGTAAGTATGCAGCATCGATTTCTTGGCCTCTTTCCTTCCCTGGGGAAGCTCGCTGCACCGTAGTATGCAGTGTTATCCGCCTGGGAGGCATGGCTCCTCCTGGCCGTGGGGTGGAGGCATAACCTCAAGTGCTGCGGATAGCTGGCCTCCACAAAACCACACCCTTGGACCCCTGCAATGGACCTCGACCCGGCCCAGGAAGCCGGGGGGAGCAGTTTTGCCTCCAGCCCTGACCTGTGTTGCCTTGAATTGGACTTGCAGTTGCTTTCGATCTGTAGTGTCCAGAGGAGGCAGACCCAGGCCTGGGGGAATGTGGCCGTACAGGCAGGCTGCCGCCCCTCCTCCCTCGGCAGATGCCCTCTTTGTCACAGTATCTGGGAGTGTCTGCTAGTGTGGCGAAGGCCGGCCCGCAGTCCTAAGGCCTGCTAGAGGCTTCTGTTCTTACAGACCCCCTGGGGCACCTCAGGGGGTGTGGGTCCCTAGGAGCATGTGGGCGCCATGGCTGTGTCATGCCCTGCCGTGAGCTCCTTGTCCTGGCGCCGCTCCCTGGAATACAGGTCTTCAGTGCGTAATTGGGTTCATGTGAGGTCAGGAATGCACATAAAGACAGCACGAACCGGACTTTATTACCTACAAGTCCCAGAAGGTGACTTTCAACAGCTTCATCTTACTGGGAAATATTTACAAGGTTAGTGTAAGCATATTTAAAACATAATGTTTTGGGCACGTTAGTGTAGGGGCTTATTCCAATATCCCACCCTGGACCCTGCGCCATTTCTTCTTCCTCACAGCTCACGGAATTCGCGCCAGTCCAGCCATCCACCAGTCAGATGTAACCTGGCATTCCACCTGAGAATCCCACCCCCAATCTCTCAGCCCCTTCCCCAACCCCGCCCACTCACCAATCATCCCCAGGCATTCACCTGCAGGCACCAATCCCCTGGGGCCTTGACCTCAATGCCTCCTAATCCCCTCCCCCCCCCTCCCCGCCCTCCACACCTGGCAGACAAAAAAGGCCCCCAGGTGCGGTTCTCTCTCTTCTTGGCCTCCTCTTCCTTGCTCTTCCCCCCTCTCTCTCTCCTTCTTGGCTGCCTCTTCCTTGCTCTTCCACCCTCTCTCTCTCTCTCTCTTCTTCTTGGCCTCCTCTTCCTTGCTCTTTCTCTCTCTCTCTCCCTTGCTCTTCCCCTCTCTCCTCCTTCTGGCCTCCCTTACCCCCACCCCTTCCCTTTTCCTGCCCCGCTAGAAAAACTTCCCAAGATACGTCGTTGTATCTGGTATTTTAATAACGGTAAAGACACAGGTTGCGAGAATAAGCTGCACCTAAAGTACCATAATATCATATGACCTAGAACTAGAACTCTCATCCCTTTTAAATAACTAGCAGTTAGCATGGCGAGTCTTTAGGGAAGAGAGATACTATTTTGCCTTGATTCCTTTGGATTCCCACATTCCTGCTGTCTCCCTTAGGATTCCCACATTCCTGCTGTCTCCCTTGGGAGTCCAACAATCCTGCTATCTCCCTTGGGAGTCTCACATTCCTGCTGTCTCCCTTGGGAGTCTCAAATTCCTGCTGTCTCCTTTGGGATTCTCACATTCCTGCTGTCTCCCTTGGGATAGCAGGAATGTGAGAATCCCAAGGGAGAGAGGCATGGTATTGCGTTGATTCCTTGGGATTCTCACATTCCTGCTGTCTCCCTTGGGATTCTCACATTCCTGCTGTCTCCCTTGGGATTCCCACATTCCTGCTGTCTCCCTTGGGATTCTCACATTCCTGCTGTCTCAGTTGGGAGTCTCACATTACTGCTGTCTCCCTTTGGATTCCCACATTTCTGCTGTCTCTCTAGGGATTCCCACATTCCTGCTGTCTCCCTTGGGATTCCCACATTCCTGCTGTCTCCCTTGGGATTCCCACATTCCTCCTGTCTCCCTTGGGATTCCCACATTCCTGCTGTCTCCCTAGGGATTCTCACATTCCTGCTGTCTCTCTTGGGATTCTCACATTCCTGCCGACTCCCTTGGGAGTCTCACATTCCTGCTGTCTCCCTGGGGATTCCCATATTCCTGCTGTCTCCCTTGGGAGTCTCACATTCCTGCTGTCTTCCCTAAAGAAAGCAGGAATGTGAGACTCCCAAGGGAGAGAAGCATGATTTTGCGTTGATTCCTTGGGATTCTCACATTCCTGCTGTCTCCATTGGGAGTCTCACATTCCTGCTGTCTCCCTTGGGAGTCTCACATTCCTGCTGTCTCCCTTGGGATTCTCACATTCCTGCAGTCTCCCTTGGGATTCCCTCATTCCTGCTGTCTCCCTTGGGATTCCTACATTCCTGCTGTCTCCCTTGGGAGTCTCACATTCCTGCTGTCTCCCTTGGGAGTCTCACATTCCTGCTGTCTCCCATGGGATTCCCACATTCCTGCTGTCTCCCTTGGGATTCCTACATTCCTGCTGTCTCCCTGGGGATTCTCACATTCCTGCTGTCTCCCTTGGGATAGCAGGAATGTGAGAATCCCAAGGGAGAGAGGCATGGTATTGCGTTGATTCCTTGGGAGTCTCACATTCCTGCTGTCTCCCTTGGGATTCCCACATTCCTGCTGTCTCCCTTGGGAGTCTCACATTCCTGCTGTCTCCCTTGGGAGTCTCACATTACTGCTGTCTCCCTTTGGATTCCCACATTTCTGCTGTCTCTCTAGGGATTCCCACATTCCTGCTGTCTCCCTTGGGATTCCCACATTCCTGCTGTCTCCCTTGGGATTCCCACATTCCTGCTGTCTCCCTTGGGATTCCCACATTCCTGCTGTCTCCCTTGGGATTCTCACATTCCTGCTGTCTCTCTTGGGATTCTCACATTCCTGCCGACTCCCTTGGGAGTCTCACATTCCTGCTGTCTCCCTGGGGATTCCCATATTCCTGCTGTCTCCCGTGGGAGTCTCACATTCCTGCTGTCTTCCCTAAAGACAGCTGTCTTCCCTGCTGTCTCCCTTGGGATAGCAGGAATGTGAGACTCCAAAGAGAGAGACATGTTATTGCGTTGATTCCTTGGGAGTCTCACATTCCTGCTGTCTCCCTTGCGATTCTCACATTCCTGCTGTCTACCATGGGATAGCAGGAATGTGAGAATCCCAAGGGAGAGATCATTGTTTTGCGTTGATTCCTTGGGATTCTCACATTCCTGCTTTCTCCCTTGGGAGTCTCACACTCGTGCTGTCTCCCTTGCGTGTCTCACATTCATGCTGTCTACCTTGGGATTCCCACATTCCTGCTGTCTCCCTTGGGGTTCCCACGTTCCTGCTGTCTCCCTTGGGATTCCTACATTCCTGCTGTCTCCCTTGGGATTCCTACATTCCTGCTGTCTCCCTTGGGAGTCTCACATTCCTGCTGTCTCCCTTGGGAGTCTCACATTCCTGCTGTCTCCCTTGGGATTCTCACATTCCTGCTGTCTCCCTTGGGATTCTCACATTCCTGCTGTCTCCCTTGGGAGTCTCACATTCCTGCTGTCTCCCTTGGGAGTCTCACATTCCTGCTGTCTCCCTTGGGATTCCCACATTCCTGCTGTCTCTGGGGATTCTCACATTCCTGCTGTCTCCCTTGGGATAGCAGGAATGTGAGAATCCCAAGGGAGAGAGGCATGGTATTGCGTTGATTCCTTGGGATTCTCACATTCCTGCTGTCTCCCTTGTGATTCTCACATTCCTGCTGTCTCCCATGGGATAGCAGGAATGTGAGAATCCCAAAGGAGAGATCATGGTTTTGCCTTGATTCTCTTGGGAGTCTCACATTCCTGCTGCCTCCCTGGGGAGTCTCACATTCCTGCTGTCTCCCTTGGGATTCCTACATTCCTGCTGTCTCCCTTGGGATTCCCACATTCCTGCTGTATTCCTTGGAAATCTCACATTCCTGTTGCCTCCCTTGGGAGTCTCACATTCCTGCTGTCTCCTTTGGGAGTCTCACACTCCTGCTGTCTCCCTTGCGAGTCTCACATTCCTGCTGTCTCCCTTGGTAATGCGTCCTTCCTGCTGTCTCCCTTGGGATTCTCACATTCCTGCTGTCTCCCTGCGGATTCTCACATTCCTGCTGTCTCCCTTGGGAGTCTCAAATTCCTGCTGTCTCCTTTGGGATTCTCACATTCCTGCTGTCTCCCTTGGGATAGCAGGAATGTGAGAATCCCAAGGGAGAGAGGCATGGTATTGCGTTGATTCCTTTGGATTCCCACATTCCTGCTGTCTCCCTTGGGATTCCCACATTCCTGCTGTCTCCCTTGGGAGTCCAACAATCCTGCTATCTCCCTTGGGAGTCTCACATTCCTGCTGTCTCCCTTGGGAGTCTCAAATTCCTGCTGTCTCCTTTGGGATTCTCACATTCCTGCTGTCTCCCTTGGGATAGCAGGAATGTGAGAATCCCAAGGGAGAGAGGCATGGTATTGCGTTGATTCCTTGGGAGTCTCACATTCCTGCTGTCTCCCTTGGGATTCTCACAT